TATGGCATAAATGCAAGTGTTTTCCATGAGGTTTCCCCCCACCCCCCATTAACTTGCATAATGGTTTCCATTAGCATCATGCTTAGTTTTTATTCCTTCTTTCCTTGTCTATATCCATCTTTTTGCACCATGATGTGGTGCCCCATTGGCATAATTTTCTACCTTTTGTCTTCCCGTAATGCTGCTGTAGGAGACAGATGGACTCCACGTTAGGCATTGACATCTAGCCTGTTTACATTTCCTGAGGCAAGAGATGGTTGGGCTCCAGTTGAGCCTTTCCAATCAGTGTCCTGCTTGCCCTCTGAAATGGAAGTAACAACAGAAAGAGGGTAAATAGCCAGTGTCTGTCTCTTATGAACACTTTCATAGCCATGGGAAGGGCAAAGAGGGACAAACTCCTGCTTGAGTCAAGGATGAAGAGATCTCCCCTCCCCCCACCCCCCCCTTTGGTTCAAGGGAAACACTACACATGCGCAGAGAGGCTCCTTGTGGGTGAAAAGTCCCGCGAAAATGCCAGACCATAATGAGCCTTGCTTCTCCCAGAAGCCTCCAGTTGGAGATCCATCTTGGCTGAGGGGTATGTGCACACCAGGGGAGAGTCCCAGGATAGGTCAGATGGGAAGAGAGAAACCAGAAACTTGGCAGGAAGGAAGACAAAGACCCAGAAGAACTGGCCTGTCTAAATGACTTAACTGCCTTGTGGTTATTGTGCTCCTTCTCACTAGGGGGCGCCCATAACCTTTCTCTCCAGGTGTGTCTCTCTGCTTTGCTTCTGTCTTAACGAGACCAGCTGTTTCTCCGTGTGCTTTCCCACATGTTGCTGTGCTGTGTCACTAATAATAAACGTTGTACCTGCATTTACCGATTCTGCCTCCATGATAAATGCATTTTTCACTGGTCAAAGATCCAGGGAAACTTGGCTTCTAGCCTCTAGCCCTTGCTGGTCTGGCGGCTAGGATTCCTGGTTTTGGTTCAGGCTACCCAGGGTCAGTTCCTGGGCAGCGAAGTAGATCTCACTTCAGGCCACCACTCACTGCTGCCTCACTGAGATCAACTCAATGTTTATCACCATTTAATCTACATCATCTACATTGTCGCAACTATTTTGTAACTTTTCGGAAAAGGACTTCTTAGGGATTAACATACTGATATTTCCATAAGGGGGAAATACTTCTTCCCTGAAACTGCGTTGAGAACATTTGATCTTAAGAAAATGTGTGTTAACGTAGCAGAATTATTATTTTATCTTTACAATCTAGCATTTGTTAAATCCTTAACTGCTCATAACTGTTGGGGCGTCCCTGGTGGCTCAGCTGGTGAAGAATCCACCTGCAATGCAGGAGACCTGGGTTCCATCCCTGGGTTGCAAAGACCCCGTGGAGAAGGGAAACGGCTACCCACTCTAGTATTCTGGCCTGGAGAATTCCATGGACTGTATAGTCCATGCGTTCGCAGAGTCTGACATGACTGAGTGACTTTCACTCTTCACCAGCAACGGTTCGGCCTGAAATAAGAGCTTTCAAAAGTCTTTGAACACAGACACTCTAACTTATTTTCCCTCTGGGATAAATATTTTGCATTTACTTTGAGGTCATATATACACAATAGGCACAGAACTCTCTTATGTATTTTATTTGCATATAAATTAACATCCTAGAAACTTTAAATAGAAACACTAAGGCACTAAGCGTTCTTTAGAAAGTGCTATAAAATGCTCTGAATGATTGCTTCTACTCAGCAAATGGTAAGAAAATATGTGTATTAGTTGCTCAGCTGTGTCCGACTCTTTGTGACTCCATGGACTGTGGCCTCCCAAGTTCCTCTGTCCGTGGAATTCTCTAGGCAAGAATAGTGGAAGAGGTTGCCATTCCCTTCTCCAGGCGATCTTCTCAACCCAGGCATGGATCCCAGGTCTCCTGCATTGCAGACAGATTCTTGACCATCTGAGCCACCAGGGAAGCCCAGGAAATAGATCGACCGAAATCCTATTAATCAGGACTGGTGCCATTAGAGAGAAAATAACCTACTAGATTAATTTAGTTTTATTATTGCGATTCTCCTTGGGAATCAAAAATAGGTTACTTCTGGAGAAACTGACAAATCTGTGATTTAGCTCTGAATGCTCAATTGTATGCCATCTTTTTCACTCTTCTCTTACACTTTCATCAATAGGCTGTTTAGTTCCAACTCCTGGAGGCATTTCTTATTCCCCTTTCTGTCTTTTCTCCCTCATAAGGGGACCCATTTATATCTTTAACAACATAGTTTAACAACAGGTTCTTTCAATATATTCTATACTTTTCCGTCATATATATATTTGTAACTGATCCATCCTTCAGTTCACTGATCCTCTGTTCAGCTATTTCTAATTTGATGTTAATCCCAGAGACTGAGTTCTTAAATTCCGTCACTGTTTTTTTTTATAGTTGTAGCATCCGTTTTGATTCTCAGAAATTTTTTCTTTGGTCAAGTATATTTTTTGAACTGGTGACATTTGCAATTGATACATCTAGCATACCTCTGATATGCTGATATGCATCTGATCCCTCTGGATCTGTTTCAGTTCTTTTTCTGTTGGTCCTGTTTGTTGTTACACCCTTTTTTGGTTTGTTGTTTGCATGTTGGGTACTACGTTTGGAAAGCCCTAGAGGTGCTGAGTGATGCTGTCTTCTCCAGGCTTTCCTCTGACGTAGACCTCTCGTGGGGACAGAGCTCTGTGTTCGCTCAGGGCCTGAGTGACTTGAGGCTAGGGGGTCCTTGTGAGCTGAGTCTCAGCAGCCTTCACCCACTTTCCCCGCCCCCCTCACCCGACCCCAGGGAGGAGCCCTCCAGCATCTCCATCTGGAAGCCTGGGGTGCCTCCCAGGGCCCCTCCTTTTAGGCAGGTCCTGAATCCCACCGTCCACCTCCTGAAGACCACGAGGTGATTGATACTCAGTGCTCAGCCAGTTTGGGCAGGGTGTTGGGTACGTTTTCTGTGCCTAACTTTTCTTAGGGAGACTGGTCTCTACCATCAGGACTGACTTGTCAGGCCTACGCTCATATGTTTGTCTTCCCAGTCCGAGGAGCTGTCCAGAGCTGTGTCAGCCAGTCCCCTCTGCTGGACGTTCCCCCGCCTTTTCTTTGCAGAGTCAGCTTTGTTCAGATGTCCCGGGGGAAGGAGCGGCCTCTCAGTCTCCAGCTGCCTCACTGGGCTTCCCTTTTGCTTGAGATCTTGGATTGTGGCTGCCTGAGGACCTCTTTTAAAATGTATTTAGCTTTTCTAGCTCTGGGTAGGCTGACCTACAAGCTGCTTGCGTTTGTAACTGGACGTGGGGAAGCTCTGGGTGTCTTCTCTCATCTGAAGCCACATGTAAGCATCACACTAATTATACTGATCATCTTTATTTGATACCGGGAAAACAAGAGGCAGGGGTCCTTGCTTAGTACCCACGGTTGTGTTTCGGATCAGAATCCCCAGCTTGCCCATGCTCTTTCAGTGCCACTTGAATTTGGGAAGAAGGTGGAGCAAGCAGCCCACGCAGCCTGGGGACGGAAGAGCCGGTGTGCCTGCTTCCCCTGCGCCTGCCAGCCCAGGGCAGGCCTTGCGATGACGGGCTGCTGGTGGTGGAGGAGAAGCTGAGGAGAGCGGGGCTGCGTGACCTGTTGTGTGATGGGGTCACCTGTGGGTTTTCTTTTTCAGTTTGAAAAATGACTGCTTTTAATCTTCCCTCCAGTTTCACTTTAAGGTTGAAAATGAAGATTTTATTCTTCAAGTTGAGCACAGTGATTTTACAGTCTTTTTGAAAGCCACAGTTGAGGTTTTCAAAAGACGTCTCAGAGAACTGCAGTAGATAAAGCAAAAAAAAAAAAAAAGAGACCGTGTTCAGGGTGCACTGCGGGTGGGACCCCAAACTGTACCCTGTCTCCCCAGAGTCTGTCATTGCTGAGATAGGCGGATATAGGACCTCAAGCACCCCGGGGACTGAGTCCTCAAGTGACCGCAGAGGACCAGGCTGAGCCAGGAGCAGTGTGGGCTATGCCCTGGTGTGTGGAGAGCCGCGAGGCTGGGAGTGGGGTCAGGAGAGGGGGTGGGAGACTTGCGCGTGGAGGGCGGGGCAGCCCCTGGAGGGATCTGGGAGGTGCTGGCTGTCACGGCTTGAGGCAGGGCCACCCCTGAACCTGCACCATGCAGTCCCCATGGGGCCGAGTCGTCTGGCGGCCCAGGGTTGAAGTTAAGAAGGTGAGCTCACAGCAGGTTGAATGAACCCCTGTCCCCACTCTGGGTTCATTGTAAGCGCCCAGAGCAAGGTTGGTCAAGCCCTTGCTGAGCTCAAGTGAGGGAGCCAGTCAGGGAGGACCAAGCTCAGGGTGAGAGTGAGGGGCAGCCAGTGCGGGGAGTCCTCCTCAGCCATGTGGGTTCTGGGCACACCCTTGAGTTCAGGGGTGCCCTTTCAGTAGCCTCACTGCAGGCTTGTTTCGGGGGTGGAAGAAGCAGAAGCCCACTTAGAAGACGTGCTCATCCCTAGCGGTGGTGGTTTCTGAAGCAGTTTATACTGTTCGGTTTGACTGTGACCCAGTGACCTTGCAGGGTGACATTTGATGGTGGGCCTGAGCTGTGGGCACGGCCTTCCTTCTCCCGCACCCAACACACACCTGCCATGTTTTTGGCAGCCCCTCCCCACTCTCTGCACCCTTGATGGTGGGCCGGAGCCCAGCCCCCCTGTTACCATGGAGCCCTTTGTGACAGAGTGGCTTTCATGATCCGGGCTCCCGGGTGACGTGCTGGAGGCAGAGCCTTCGTGTCATTTCTTCTTGAGATAGCGGAGCTGGTGGTCATAGTGTGAGAGCAGTGTGAGAGTGGTGTGTGTGAGAGTGGTGTGTGTGAGAGTGGTGTGTGTGAGAGCGGTGTGTGAGAGCAGTGGTCATAGTGTGAGATCGGTAGTGATACCTCAGGCACTTAGGGATCTGCCTGAGAAACAGCAGGTGCCCCCAAGTGGGGGGCTGCCCCCATCCGCGAGGATGGGTCGCAGAAGGGCCATCCTATGGGCACTTTTCCCATGCTGCAACCCCAAGAAAAAGGCCAAGACAAGAAATAAGTTGGCCTCATCCCAAGTCGTGGAAGCAGAGTGCCCGGAGGTGAGAGCAGCCGGGGGATGGGCCCGTCGGGTTGGCCCTCACCCGGCAAAGAGTTGGGGTTGTGTTTTACTTTGTTCGCATGCTCGTGGGCCCTGCCGGCCAAGGCGTTCTGGCCTCCTGGGCAGGATGGACCCCAGCAGGTTGACCTTGTAAGAGGCCGTGCAGATGCTGCGTGGACAATGGGCGGGGGCCCCACAGGAAGGGGAACAGGGGCTGGAGGAGTCACTGGGGCACGTGGACTGAGCTCTAGAGTCGGTCCTTGGAGCGGAAAGGAAAGGCTAAGCCCCTTAAAGTCTCTCTTCTTCCAAACAAGGGATCCACTGGCTGGAGGAGTCTCTGGGGCGTGTGGGTCGAGCTAGAGAGTCAGTCCTTGGAGCAGAAAGGCTGAGCCCCTTAACGTCTGCCATCGTCCAAAGCCCAGAGCAGTGCGCCCGGTGTTCTAATGACGGGTGCCTACTGCTCCTGTGTATGACACACACCCTCACAGCCTCACATGTCTACTACATGCCTCTTACAAAGTGCTGGGCAGTGCTCTAGGTGCTGAATACTTAGTATGTAGTAGGGGAGACATAGCCCAGGATTTTTGTATTTGTGCAAAGAACAATAGAAGAATGAAAGAGTCCGTGTGGTTCGGTTTGAGCAAGTTCACCACGTGGACGGCCCCGCGTATGTGCATATTGTGATAAAATACATATAACATGAATTTACCATTTTAAGCAGTTCGTTGAATGACTGGGTGACTTCAGTGGAGTCAGGCTAACAGACGGCCTTGGGGTGCCATCAGCCTCTTTCCCAGAGGAACACTCCAAAGCCTGGTGGCCTTGAAGACCTTACCTTTCTTCTTCACTCTCCCCAGGGGCTCTCGGTCACTTGTCTGTGTGTCGTTTAAGAATCTCTTTATCCACTTTGTTCTTAAGTGTATGTTTAGGAAAGTCTCTCAGACTTCCCTGCGTCTTGAGAAGGCAGGCTTGGATTCCGGGTTCTCCCCTACCGCACAGGCTTGGATTCCGGGTTCTCCCCTGCCACGTGCCTGCCAGGTCGAGGTGGAGGCTGCAGGCCAGTCTGAGTTGTAGGGGTCTGTGTGGTCTTGGGGTCAGTGGGCCCCCTCTTCTCCGGAGGGGCAGGGAGATCCTTTGAGTGGAGCCTGGAGAGACTGGACAGTGTCAGTCTTCAGAGTCTCGCTCTCTTTAACATTTGTGTTTGCATTTATTTACTTCCTCATTGACCTGTTTTCTAGGAGTTGGCATGTCGACAGCTAAAAGCATGCAGGGAGCAGCTTCTTAGAAGAGAAGCAGAAATCTCGGAACTAAAAGCAGAAAGGAACAACACCAGGGTCAGTAGGCGGAGTCTCACGTGTTGACCTGTGCCCCGCAGGGGTCACCGCTGGTCTCCATGTTGCTGTCTTGAAAGTCTGGTTTTCAAGTCATTTTTCACATCCTCCCACTGAGCAGACCGAGGTGGATCAGTTCGGGTTTCTCACACCTTGCTTCAAATTGATGATGAAAGCTAATGTAATTTTAGTACATTTGAGGGGAGAGTTCTCTTAGCTTCCATTTTTGTCCATGCTGCAGTTTGTGTGGGATCTTAGTTCCCACACAGGGATTAAAACCCATGAGCCCTGCAGAAGTGTGGAGTGTTAACTCCTGGGCCACTGGGGAAGTCCACTCTAACTTTAGACTGAACTGGCGGGATTCCGACATGCCTTAGCATGGTTTCGGTCTTAGCGTGAGGCTGAGAGGCGTTCTGGGCCCTGAATTCAAGTGTGAGGTTGAAGGTGCTCCTTTGGCCCCACCTTGCAGCTGCTGCTGGAACACCTGGAGCTCCTGGTTTCCCGGTACGTGCCGTCCCTCCAGATGACGGTGGAGAGGCATCAGGCGCGGTCCCCAGCCAGCATGACCAGCGAGTTGGAGGTCCTCAGGGCACTGAGATTGCTCTTCGAGCACCACAAGGCCCTGGACGAGAAGGTACCAGCCACGCGGCCGTCCTGGATTTGTACACTTGCTGCCTGGTTAGGTGGACGATGCGTGTGTTTATGGAACTAGTTGACTTTTGAGCTTCTTGAATTCTTGTAAATACAGTTTTTCCGTAAGAACTCAGAGTTTTATATGGTTAAAAAGCGTTGCCTGTGTACATGCTCAGACATGTCTGAGTTTTGCGACCCTGTGGACCATAGACTACCATGCTCCTCTCTTCATGGGGCTTCCCAGGCAAGAATACTAGAGTGGGTGGCCATCTTCTACTCCAGGGGATCTTCCCAACCCAGGGATCGAACCTGCCCTCTCACACTGGCAGGCAGATTCTTTCTCACTGAGCCTCCTGGGAAGCCCCCAGTTAAAAAGTATTAGTTGGCATAAATGTCTCAAGATTTATTTTATTCTGTTTGTCAATTTGCAATTAAAAACTGGGTAATACAGTTCTTTTAGGATAAATTCTGAAACTTAGAGTTTAAAGCCGTTAGTAAGCAGATTTTCTTCACCTTAAGGTCAATGAGAGACATTAAAGGTGTTCTGTTACAGTAACCATGCAATCATGTGAGGGTACAATAAGAAGTGCACTAACGTATGTACACAGATCAACACACAGTGATTCGGCCCCTTTTATTTCAGTTGAGAGAGGAACTACGACGAACACTTCAAAGGTGTAGTTCCTTAGAAGAGGAATTAAGTACCAAACACAGAGAGGTAAGTTTGATCAGTCATCGTGTAATTTCAGTTAAGGATTCGTCATTTGTATACTTTCATTTTCACAAAGTATGAAGGCTGTGGTGGTGGACATCAGATGTTATTTATCTTTGAAAAGGGGCGCAAGGGCCTGAGGAATAACCCCAGGGAGGGCCGGGCCTAGAGCCAGGGAGAGACATGTTGGAGGGCGGCGGGCTGGGCAAGGACGGGAGTGGGCTTGGTGACATGGGCTCCTCCAGCTCCCAGGGAGCTGCCCGGTAGGGCAGGGCACAGCGCCTGCTTGCAGAGAGCTGGAGAGCAGGTGGGACAGGGACAGCAGAAGCCGCTCCCAGGCAGCCCTCAGAGACCCCCAATGGGCATTGCAGGGAGCCCTGGAGGAGGAGTCCGCTGGTTCCTGTTGAGGCATCGGAAGGTGGGAGAAGCGAGAGGATGTGCTGACCGGGCTGATGGGGGTGAACCCATAGGCAGCTGGTGCGCTGGAGGGGAGCAGGGATGATGGCAGGTGGTCCTGCAGCCAGTGAAGGGGGTGGCCCAGCCCTGGGGAGGGGTCGTGAGGAAGACGGGGTGAGGGCTCTGGCCACGGGACTGGTAGCTGGCAGCCAGCACCTCGAGGCTGCCCCTCGGTTGCTTTGAGGTCCTGTCTGGGAAAGAAGGCAGGACCTGGGTTGAGAGTCGGACAGGGGGGAGATTTGCAGAGAGAAGGGTGTGAGAGCAGGAGGGCGGCACGGGGCCCAGCAGGCACTCTCCCGTGCGTCTCTGATGGCACAGCCGCCCTTGCGGTGCGAGGGGCTCTCCCCCAGAAGAGGCCGAGTGCCTGTGCCCCGAGAGGACAGCCGCGGGGGCTGGCCCTCCAGTCCCCTGGCTGCCCTGCTCGCTCCTGTTTGTGAGTGTGCAGATCAGCCTGGAACACGTAGGGCTGGGAACCTGTGAGGATGGCACTCCTCGGGGAACTAGTACAAGTGATGACCGCTGAGGCAGACCTATTGGCTACGGAGCTGAAGGATTTTTTCTTTCATGTTTTCCTTCAGCCTGCCTGCTGGAGGCATGGATGTATGTTTTTAATTTTGCGTTTTTGTTTCTGACTCCATCGGCCCACCCTTTTGAATAACCTCATAGGATTTCCTTCCGTCCACGCTAAGAACTGAGAGTGACCAGGACATCTAGGAACTGGATTCTCCTCCTGCCCGTTTCTTCAGTACTGCTCGCTTAAGAGATGGCAGTGTCTCCTAAGCATGGCCGCTTATCCAAAGTCGGGCTTCCATGTAAAATTGTGTTCGGTTCCTGATAGACGTGAGCTGTCCTAAATGTCGCTGACAGGGCGTGGTCCTCTCATGCCCAGGTGCAGAGCCAGAGGGAGCAGGGCTGGGAGTCCGCAAAGCAGGCCCGCGTGGTGGCCACCGTGGCCGAGGACTTCGAGACTGACGAGGATGTGCCTGATGGCGAAGGTGATGGGCCCACCCTCTTCAGTTCGGCCGGTCAGCTGCTGCCCAGTGGGCAGGCAGATGCCGACACTCTGCCTGTGAAACTTCAGGAGCACCTGGACGCCATCAACAAACAGATACGGTGGGTGCGCCTGAACACGGCTCCCCAGAAACTGGGCTTCTCTGAGGAGCTGTCTTCTCCTATGAGAAGTCTGAGTGTTCCATAGTGAGAAAACTGACTTCAGGCCTGCTTCAAGGATTTTCAGTTCTCAGACCACCCTTGACGAGAGAGCTCAGACAGGCAGGCCGTTCTGTCCACAGCTGGTGTCAGCACTCTCTGGGGGGGCGTAGTGTGGTGTCCCCCCCAGCTCTGAGCCCCAAGGTGGGTGAGGTACCGATGCAGTGTCCTCTGCGTCCCGTGTGCCCTCCAGCACTGAGAGTTCACCCTCCCGTGTCCATCGGAGACTCCCACGTTCTGGTGAAAAGCTACCTGGAACAGAAAAGCAGGGGTTTGGGGGTTGGCAAATTCCCATTCAGATCTGCATTGTCCTTTTCAAGTTAATACAGTGTGAAGATTGGCTTGTTGTAAGACAGTGGTCCAAGGATATATGTTTGAGTTTCTCTCATCTCATCAGGATATTTCAGATGTTTTCTTTAGACACCGTCTTGGCAGTTGTAGCAGTTTACAACACGGGATAGAAGGCAAAGGCCCGCCTCGTGGTGAGCAGCGGGCCTTGGGTCTGGGTGCAGCCGGGTGTCCGGGGGCCCCGAGGCCTGCCTGGGCCACACCCGCACAGCTACGCCCCTGTCCCGGGTCCACGTCCAGAGTGGCCGCAGGCCGGTGACCCTGTGCAGGACCAGGCAGAGCTGCTGCTCAGATTGTTCTCGTCACGTCAGCCCAGGCCGAGGTGCCCGTGCCTGCGGGCCGAGCACGCGGGGCTCGGGGGAAAGTCAGGGGTGAACGGCACACCCAGCAAATGCAGGTGGTGCCGCCTGCACTTTTGACGCCGAGACAGACTGCTTCCTGGGCCCTGTTTCAGCTCAGACGAGCTCAGAAAGATGGGCTTTCCCCATCCCCGCAGGAACGATGGAACGGTTCCATGTTAGTATTTTTATTTGAACAGCAAGTTGTCAGGTAAAGTGAATTTTCCTTAGGCAGTAAGTTGACTTGTTATAAATGGCAAATCCTGTCCATCAGCTTGCTATAACCAGTGAAAAACTTTCAGGACTTATAGGTAGAAGTGAAGCTGGAGAGGTTATGACCTGCAAGAATCCTGTATTTTATTTTGGAAGTCATTTTATATGCATCATCGAGTATTTCAACTGCTATTTAAAATCCTCCACTACACATTAGGGCAGAAGAGCAGTAAGGGTGAATTCTATGTCAATGCGGCACATTGACATGAATCCAGAGACTCGCACAAAGCTGGTGGAGAACTTCATCAAGTGATGCATTTGTACATATGCAACCGTAAGAAAAGAAAAATCCCCTCAGCACTTCATCTGGTCTGGGGACTTTTGTTTAGAAACTCCAGCTTGTTCATGAATCGCTGTTTTGGTTATAGAGAGTTCCCGATTTGCAGTGGCAAAGACTTGCGGCCCTGACGTGCACCTCTGCCCTGAGAGCAGGGAAGGTGAAGGTTGTCAACTTCAGGTATCTCCTCACAGGGAGAGAGTCGCCACTCGGGCCCCATCAGAATGTTAGCGTAAAGGAGTCAAATCAAACGTGAATGACCAGGGGCCAGTTTGTAAGACTCAGTGCTCAGTTATTCCAAGTTTGAGAATATTCAAAAGAGGGAAAGTCGAACCTTTTAGCCGAGATGTGAAATGAGCAGATGTTCCCGGAATTGGCTCATCGCGACACAGAATGCCAGCCCAAATTTGCTGTCCAGACAGGTTCCTGTGCTGACAGAGGCAGCTGACGAGTTTTGCTCTCCTTTAGGTGGATCCAAGAGGAAGAGAGCACGGAGCAGCAGGCCGAGGAGACTGAGAGCAGGGCGGGCAGGGCGCGCTTAGGCAGCCTTCGGCGTTTTGAGTCCCTGAGCTCCCTCAACCTGTGTCCTGCCTCCTCACTTGCCAGCTCCTGCCCGCCCAGCAGGGCGCCCTCCCCACCCCGAAGGAGGCGGCGCAGCCTGGCGCACGAGGGAGACCGGCTGGGCATCATGACTGCGGTATGTGTCTGCCTCCTCCCTGCCACATCCCTCCCCGAGCACACTGTTTTTCTTTCTTTGTTTTTTCTCTTTATCCCCAGAGGAAAATCAGGTACATTTACTATGCTCAGAGGGCTAAGAGTTTTAAAACTGCCTGGTCTTTAATCATTCCATAATGTCACAGGGACCAATCAGTCTTGATATTTGGACCAGCGGCTTAGCAAGCCATCGTGAACTCAGCCAGAGCCTGCCTCTGGAACGGTGGGCCTGGCCTGTGCTGGGCACAACAGCGGCAGGGAAGTTTCTGTCGTCAGGGAGCAGACAGCCTCGTGAAAGTTACCACAGGCAGCCCTCATGGCGAGTGAAAGGCGGGCAGCACATGTTCCACCGGGGTCGCCTGGCTGCAGGGTGCAGGGCATGCGGTGGCAACAAAACCAAGAATCTGAACTGGTCCGCTTGCTGATGGGCCTTGCCGCACGCGCTCAGGCCAGCTGTGCGCATGAAACCAGTTAAAGGCCCGGGGCCCCAGGGCCCCAGGGAAGAAGTCGGGCTGCCTCACTCTTCCGCGTCTCAACACGGGATGACGACCTAGGGCTTCTGGTGACAGAGTGTGCGGCTCTAAAGCACATGTGCCAGCTTTCTTGCCTGTGTAGCCTAGTTTTCTGAGTGCATTGCTGTTTACCCCATGAATCTCGTGTACAACACTCTGCCTTGAAACTGCACCTGTATTATCCCTTTCTTCTGTTCCCACCCATTTCATGTTAGCTGCGTTGTTAGCATAGAATTAAAATAAATGTGGGTCATTTTAGCTGCATGTGAAGTGGTACCTCGTCCATTTTGTGGTCTTTTGACACACTGCTTTTATACTTTGTATCATTGTCTAAGTCGTTGATATTTAAAATTCTTGGCCATTTCTCTGTGGCTTCATGCTTGATTTCTTTCGGAGTGTTTGTGAAAGAACAGTCCTGAATAATTTTTCCTTGTGGAGTTTTCTGACGGTGTGCCTGCTTTCATCATTGGTTTTGATTTCCTGACTCATCGTGTTGTCTGTTTAGCCGTCATCAATCCAGACCCCAGCCTCCCATCCCCCCCACCGGAGGCTGTAGTTCACACATCCATCTCCCCTCCCCATCCTCCCACTCGCTCTGGTCATATCAGTGCTGTGTCCCGTTAGTCTGGTTTGTGGTTTGTCTTCGTGTCTCATTAAATGGTGTTTTTCCTGCATAGCAGTAAGTTAGAGTTAGTGCACCACTATACAGTTAAAAGCATAATGAAGATGGATCATACACTGTATGGACAGCAGATGCCTCTCCCAGGCAGCCTTCAGAGACCCCCAGTGGGCACTGCAGAGTGCCCTGGAGGAGGAGTCTGCTGGTTCCCGTTGTGCCATTTGAAGGCGAGAGAAGCGAGAGGATGTGCTGACCGGGCTGCTAGGGGTGAACCCATAGGCAGCTGGTGCGCTGGAGGGGAGCAGGGATGGTGGCAGGTGGTCTTGCTGCCAGCGAAGGGGGTAGCCCAGCCCTGGGGAGGGGTTGTGAGGAAGTCAGGGGGCGAGGGCTCTGGCCACGGGGGCCAGGTAGCCGGCAGCCAGCACCTCGAGGCTGCCCCTCAGTTGCTTTGAGGTCATGTGTGGGAAAGAAGGCAGGACCTGGGTTGAGAGTCGGACAGGGGGGAGATTTGCAGAGAGAAGGGTGTGAGGTGTGAGAGCGGGAGGGCAGCACAGGGCCCAGCAGGCACTCTCCCGTGCGTCTCTGATGGCAGAGCCGCCCTTGCGGTGCGAGGGGCTATCCCCCAGCAGAGCCCGAGTGCCTGTGCCCCGAGAGGACAGCCGCGGAGGGCTGGCCCTCCAGTTCCCTGGCTGCCCCTGCTCGCTCCTCTCTCTGCGTGTTCGGGCCAGCCTGGAACACGTAGGGCTGGGAACCTGGGAGGACGGCACTCCTCGGGGAACTAGTACAAGTGACGACCGCTGAGGCGGACCCAGCGGCTGCAGAGCGGAAGGATTTTTTCCTTCTTATTTTCCTTCAGCCTGCCTGATGGAGGCATGGATGTATGTTTGCAATTTTGCGTTTTTGTCCCTGACTCCGTCAGCGCACTCTTGTGAATAACCTGATAGGATTGCCTTCCGTCCACGCTGACCTGAGTGTCAGCAGGCCATCTAGTAACTGGATTCTCCTCCTGCCCATTTCTTCAGTACTGCTTGCTTAAGAGATGGCAGTGTCTCATAGGCATGGCCGTTTATCCAAAGTCGGGCTTCCATGTAAAATTGTGTTCGGTTCCTGATAGACGTGAGCTGTCCTGAATGTCGCTGACCAGCCGTGGTCCTCTCATGCCCAGGTGCAGAGCCAGAGGGAGCAGGACTGGGAGTCCGCGCAGCAGACCCGCGTGGTGGCCACCATGGCCCAGGACTTCGAGAGTGACGAGGATGTGTCTGACGGCGAGGGCGACAGGGTCACCCTCTTCAGCTCGGCCGGTCAGCTGCCGCCCAGTGGGCAGGCCGATGCCGACACTCTGCCTGTGATGCCTCGGGAGCAGCTGGACACCATCAGTGAGGAGACCCGGTGGGTGTGCCCGAACTCGGCTCCCCAGAAACTGGGCTTCTCTGAGGAGCTGTCTTCTCCTACGAGAAGTCTTGAGTGTTCCATAGTGAGAAAACTGACTTCAGGCCTGCTTCAAGGATTTTCAGTTCTCAGACCACCCTTGATGAGAGAGCTCAGACAGGCAGGCCATTCTGTCCACAGCTTGTGTCAGCACTCTGTGGGGGGCTTTGTGGGGTGTCCCCCCCAGCTCTGAGCCCCAAGTTGGGTGAGGTGCTGACGCAGTGTCCTCTGCGTCCCGTGTGCCCTCCAGCACTGAGAGTTCACCCTCCCGTGTCCATCGGAGACTCCCACGTTCTGGTGAAAAGCTACCTGGAACAGAAAAGCAGGGGTTTGGTGTTGGCAAATTCGCATTCAGATCTGCATTGTCCTTTTCAAGTTAATACAGTGTGAAGATTGGCTTGTTGTAAGACAGTGGCCCAAAACATGTGTTTGAGCTTTTTTCATCTCATCAGGATATTTAAGATATTTTCTTTAGACACTGTCTTCTCAGTTGTAACAGTTTACAGCTCGAGATAGAAGGCAAAGGTCCGCCTGGTGATGAGCAGCAGGTCTTGGGTCTGGGTGTAGCTGGGTGTCCGGGGTCCCCGAGGCCTGCCTGGGCCACACCCGCACAGCTGAGCCCCTGTCCCGGTTCCACGTCCAGAGCGGTCACAGGCCGGTGACCATGTGCAGGACCAGGCAGAGGCGCTGCTCAGATTGTTGTCTTCACGTCAGCCCAGGCCGAGATGCCCGGTCCTCAGTGCCGAGCACGTGGGGCTCGGGGGGAGGGTAGCCGAGAATGGCACAGCCAGCAAATGCAGGTGGTGCCACCTGCACTTTTGATGCCGAGACAGACTGCCTCCTTGGCCTTGTTTCAGCTCAGATTAGCTCAGAAAGATGGGCTTTCCCTGTCCCCGCAGGTAATATGGAACGGTTGCATATTAATATTTTTTTATTACAGCAAGTTTTCAGGTAAAGTGAATTTTCCTTAGGCAGTAAGTTGACTTCTTTTATGAATAGTAAATTGTGTCCATCAGCTTGCTATCACAAGTGAAAAACTTTCAAGACTTTTACGTAGAATGAAGCTGAAGATGTTATGACCTGCAGGAATCCCGTGTTTTAATTTGGAATTCATTTTATAGGCATCATTGTGTATTTCAACTGCTATATAAAATCATCCACTACACATTAGGGGAGAAGAACAGTAAGCGTGAATTCTAGGTTAATGCGGCAGATTGACATGAATCCAGAAACTCACACACAGCTGGTGGAGAATTTCATCAAGTGATGCGTTGTTACACATACATCCTTAAAAAAGTAAAAATCCCCTCAGCACTTCATCTGGTCTGGGGAGTTTTGTTTAGAAACTCCAGCTTGTTTGTGAATCGCTGTGTTGGTTATAGAGAGTTCCCGATTCCCAGTGGAGAAGACTTGAGGCACTGACGTGCACCTCTGCCCTGAGAGCAGGGAAGGTTAAGGTTGTCAGCTTCAGGTATCTCCTCACAGGGAGAGAGTCGCCACACAGGCCCCGTCAGAATGTTAGCGTAAACGAGTCAAATCAAACGTGAATGACCAGGGGCCAGTTTGTAAGACTCAGTGCCAAGTTATTCCAAGTTTGAGAATATTCAAAAGAGGGAAAGTCGAACCTTTTAGCCGAGATGTGAAATGAGCAGATATTCCTGGAATTTGCTCATTGTGACACAGAATGCCAGCCCAAATTTGTTGTCCAGACACGATGCTGTGCTGACAAAGGCAGCTCACGAGTTTTGGTCTCTTTTAGGTGGCTCCAGGAGGAAAGGGAGAGCATGGAGCAGCGGGCCGAGGAGACTGAGAGCAGGGTGGGCGGAGCACGCTTCTGCAGCCTTTGGCGTTTTTTTTTGTCTGTTTGTTTGTTTTTTTTTGGTCAGTGCATTTTATTTAATCAGCACAGTACAAAAATAAATAAAAATAAAGAGAAGGGAATTAAATTACAGCCAAACTGAGCTTTATGACCTTTTTAGATTATAAACCACACATACTTACAACCACGCTATGCATACATACAAAAATGAGACAAATATAAATTAATATTAACAATACCCACAGTTTGGTCAAAGAATAGCTACAGAAGAAATTGCACTAAAAAACCAGCATAAGTCGCTCGTGTGTTATTAGCAGTTTCAAATATACAGCTAAGAATAGTTCCAAGTGGGCAAAAAAAATGGCACATTTCCTTTTCATTGCAAGTTTCACAACTGCTAGAACAAAACTAAGTTCTAATAACTGTATGGAAAGAATATATCAACCCTTCAGGTTTTACAAGAAAAAAGAGAAAAACCAAATTCTGAACTATTATTCCTGTGACTTGTTCTGTGCACGGGTGTAATTTTCACAGCCATCTGTTCTCAGATTATTTTTCTTAAGACACAAAATGCTCCTAGTTTGCATGCACAATATCACTGTAAAAGCAACAATTAAAGAATAAAGGGTGGGGTTTTTTTTTGTAGGTTAGTTTTTTTCCCTTTTTTTAAAATTGTGCTCAAATTAGTCTTCGTAGCAGCATGTCGAACGGCTTCATTGCTTGCACACTCAAGTGTATCAGTCTCTTTACACAATGCTGATGACCAGTGCAGAGGAGCAGACCTCGCCAGGCTTCACATGGATGGAGCTAGAGAGTTCTTTCTTTAGTCCCCAACCATTCCTGAAATTTGCACCGCCTCCATAAATTAAAAAAATAAATATGGAGAGAGAGAAGGAAACACACAAAACTGCAATCCCGCGAGTGCGCCTTCCCTCAGTGTCAGGCCCGGCAAGGCCCACGAAGGAGCAACTCCAGACCCCTGGGTCCCGGCTCTTGACACTCGGCCCCCCAACAGCACCCCCCCCAACCCTCCCATGCTGCCGGGGCCCCGACGCCCCCACCGGCCGCCTACCTTGGGTCCCACACGGCAGCAGGATCTGCAGAGACAGGCTGTGTGACAACTCCCGTGGAGAAGAGGCGCTGCACGCGAGGTCCCCGCCAGGTTCCTTCCAGCCCTGCGGCAGGTAAATCTGGCCTGCGGTGCTGGGAGCAGCTCAGCATGAGCCTCGGGGCGCAGCTGAGGCCCATGCTCCCAGCTTGGGGCAGGCCCTCGTTCTCGCAAGCACCACGGGCCCGCAGGCTCGCTGCAGGGCCTATTAAATCCGGACCTCAGTTTCACAGCTCTCTCTTTTTTATGTGAATTTCAGTACTGCTTGTGCTGAAATGGCAGCCACCTGGAAGCTAATCCTATGTAAAACGGCCCCCTGCCTCCCCTTCCAGCCACCCTTGAAGGGGTTGAGACTGGAAGAGAGAATTCTCTGTGGGCCTTCACATCAGTCTTTGTTCCCCAAAGCCAGAGGGATTGCAGGTGGCTAGCTCCCTTCTCTGGGTCCTCTCCCAAGTCCCCAGCCACCGATCTGGGAGAATCAGAAAGAAAATTAAGCGACACATCATGGGCTTTTTCAGCCACTGGGGTTGAAGGTGGAGACCGAAACAAGCAGCTGCAAATGATCAGTGGCAGAATCAGCAGGCAGTCAGGAGTTGGGCTCCCAGCTCGTAATTGTCTCCAAGATCCAGCTGTCTCAGTGGGCCTTTCGGGACAAGGCTTCGTCTTCAGGAGAGACTCAACTGTTTGGAAACAGCTTTAAATCAACGGGGTGAGGGGAGGGGTGCATCATTACCACATCACCCTGATCCCTGACATCACCCCCGCCCCAACCCCTGCAGCTCTGCAGGGCAAATGCCATGGGCATTGGCAGGAGCCTGAGCCCTTAGGTGGGCACCAGCTCAGTCCCAGGCATGGCAGCCCCACCTTGCCCGGGAGGCAGGCTGTTGACAGTGGGCACCTGCAGCTGCCCTGGCCTTCGCCACGGGATGACTAAGCTGCATGATTCAAATGAAAAATTCACCCAAGAAAGGAGTTGTCCCTGGCATCACCCACCCCTTGGGAGCCGGGACCCAAAATGAAAGGACTTAGTGAGTCAAACCAGCTCATTAACCAACACTACCAACAGGGCTGGGGGTGGGGGACGAAGGAGGGGAGGTTTGGAGGAGGGGCTGTGGGGGCAGTTCCATGTCTCCACAAAGGAAAGCCCTTCTCCCGAAAAAAGAAGAAAGACCAAACCAGGGTCGTGCATGGCCAAATTAAGAGGACATGATCTTCGCACCAGGCCGGCTTCCCCTCGATTGAAGAGGCTGTCCCAGGGCCAGGGGCGTTTGGCCTTCTAAGCCCACGTGCGGCGCAGTCCAGGTGGCCGGCTCCAGGAGCCTCTGGGAGAACAGACGACCCAAAACAGGAGCCAGCAAATGGCCTCCAACCAGAAACTCCCAGCGTTTTAAGTCACTGAGCTCCCTCAACCTGTGTCTTGCCTCCTCACTTGCTGGCTCCTGCCCGCCCAGCAGGGAGCGCTCCCGTCCCCGAAGGAGGTGGCACAGCCTGGCGTGCGAGGGAGACCAGCTGGACGTCATGACTCCGGTATATGCCTGCCTCTTCCCTGCCACATGCCTCCCCAAGCACACTGTTTTTCTTTCTCTGTTTTTTCTCTTTTTCCCCAGAGAAAATCAGGTACATTTGCTACGCTCAGAAGTCTAAGACTTGTGAAACTGCCTGGTCTTTAATCATTCCATAATGGCACAGGGACCAATCAGTCTTGATATTTGGACCAGCGGCTTAGCAAGCCATCGTGAACTCAGCCAGAGCCTGCCTCTGGAACGGTGGGCCTGGCCTGTGCTGGGCACAACAGCGGCAGGGAAGTTTCTGTCGTCAGGGAGCAGACAGCCTCGTGAAAGTTACCACAGGCAGCCCTCATGGCGAGTAAAAGCCGGGCAGCACATGTTCCACCGGGGTCGCCTGGCTGCAGGGTTCAGGGCATGCGGTGGCAACAAAACCAAGAATCTGAACTGGTCCGCTTGCTGACGGGCCTTGCCATGTGCTCAGGCCAGCTGTGCACGTGAAACCATTTAAAGGCCCCGGGGCCCCAGGGCCCCAGGGAAGAAGTCGGGCTGCCTCACTCTTCCGCGTCTCAACACGGGATGACGACCTAGGGCTTCTGGTGACAGAGTGTGCAGCTCTAAAGCACATGTGCCAGCTTTCTTGCCTGTGTAGCCTAGGTTTCTGAGTGCATTGCTGTTTACCCCTTGAATCATGTGTACAACACTCTGCCTTGAAACTGCACTTGTATTATCCCTTTTTTCTGTTACCACCCATTTCATGTTAGCTGTGTTGTTAGCATAGAATTAAAATAAATGTGGGTCATTTTAGCTGCATGTGAAGTGGTACCTGGTCCATTTTGTGGTCTTTTGACACGCTGCTTTTATACTTTGTATCATTGTCTAAGTCGTTGATATTTAAAATTCTTGGACGATTTCTCTGTGGTTTCATGCTTGATTTCTTTCCGAGTATTTGTGAAAGAGCAGTCCTGAATATTTTTTCCTTGTGGAGTTTTCTGACGGTGTGTCTGCTTTCATCATTGGTTTTGATTTCCTGACTCATCCTGTTGTCTGTTTAGCCGTCATCAATCCAGACCCCAGCCTCCCATCCCTCCCAACGGAGGCTGTAGTTCACACATCCGTTTCCCCTCCCCCATCCTCCCACTTGCTCTGGTCATATCAGTGCTGTGTCCTGTTAGTCTGGTTTGTGGTTTGTCTTCGTGTCTCATTAGATGGTGTTTTTCCTGCATAGCAGTAAGTTAGAGTGAGTGTATCACTGTACAGTTAGAAGCATTGTGTAGGTGGATCATCCACTACATAACCTGTGTAATCATAAGTGAGATTATGCTTACATGGAGAAATGATCCTCTAAATGTATAATTAATGGTCTTTTGACCCAATATCCTTTCTGTGTTGATGCTTGGAGTTTAGACGGTAAATCTCATCAGCTTTTGCATGTTTAATGTCTCTACTAGACTCTTTTACAAAGTATCATTTATGGTTCATAAGATGTGAAGATTCCACTTGCTATTATGCTAGCTTTCCTTACAAATTTTCGTGGGATACCTGCTTTAATGGATTTATTCTGAAAAGTTTTATATCAAATTCTAGGTAAGGATTTTACATTAATGTCCAATAGTTGGTTAGATTTGTTCAGGTTTAAAATAGGTATTATGGTAACTTCCTAATCAGTGAAATTACTCCTTTAAAGTATAACGTGTTTTCTATTAAGAGAAACTAAGTTATAGCGAATTGTGGCTGAGAACAGACAACTCTTAAGACCCTTTGTTGAACAGAATGCTCTGCTTTAATAAATCATGATATTGTAATAGAATGGTATCTTCCTGAGTTATAATTTATAGTGTTTCTCTAGTAAACCTTGAATAGCTTATTTCACTTCTGTGGTTAAAAAATATGTTCTGTTTCCAGTTACATGTTCTCTTAAGTCTTCATCTCACATATGTTTGCCTTCATGTTTGCTTTAGTGTATTTGCCTGTAACAATTCTTGCACTTTTAGTATCAAAGTTGCAATCCATCTGGTTTCTGTTCATTTCTTTGCATGCACCTTTCAGCCTAGTGATTTAAGGAAGCATCGTCGAAAGGTTAACTATTTAATAATATAGCATGCCTTTGTTTCTCTGTGAAGTATTAAAGAGTCCTTATCGTGTTACATGAATGAACACTATGTGGTTATGTACTGGTGAATAATTGACACTAATGGAAGTTTTGAAACTCATCCACCAGTTGAAATATGCTGATGGTTCTCTTGGTAATAGGTCATTCGGGGACACTTGTAACAGTTTGCCTTTCTCCCACTTGTTTACCTTCTAATCAACTCATGCTTATTTATAATAGACAAAGGATTATTTTTAAAATTTTCTTTAGTTATTTTTTTTGCCATGCTGCACAGCTTATGGGATCTTAATTCCCCAACCAGGGACCAGACTGGTGTCCCGGCAGTGAGAGTGCCAAGTCCTAACGTCTGGACCACAGTGGAATTTCCACTCAGTGTGGAAATTTCCATTCAAAGAAACGGCTGAATCCGAGCCATAGGTGGTAGCTTTGCGGGATGCCAGTCTAATGACGGGGGTAGCAGTGTGCAGGAGCCTCTGTGCACCAGGCAGCTTGTCGAGTGCTTTCCGAGCCTGTCATCTCATCTGGCAGACACCCAGGTGAGGTCCCGGCTGCTGTCATCCCCATTCAGCAGATGTGGACACTGAGGCTTAGAGAGGCCGGGCCCTGTGCCCAGGCTCGCACAGCCAGCAGTGTGGTGCGGACTGGTCTGATGAGAGCCTGGACACTTAACCCTGCTGCCGTCCAGCCCGCTTTCCTCCAGAGGCCCTCGTGTCCCTCACGGCATCCCTGATGGAGGGAGCATCAGGAGGGAGCTCGCTGCCTCTCCCCTCGGGTCCCTTGGATGAGCCCCTGTTGTTGAGTCCAGTGCCCCGAAGGCTGGCCGTCCTTGTCCCTCTCCCACTCCCAGCCCACTGACCGACCACTCCTGGGACCTTCCCGCAGGACTCGGGCAGCCGCGCTCCAGTTCAGGCAGCTCAGTGCCCGGGAGCCCTTCTGCTGGGCACTGCGGAGCAGCACTGTGCCCTGGGGCTGGTGACCTGGGTGTGCTGCTCACCAGCTCTGTGGCCTGCTGTGCCCTCCTGTTATGTGAGGACACGGTCCTGCCCATCCTAGTCACATGGGCACCAGGGTGGCGGGCTTCCCTCCTGGGGGCGGGCGGCCAGGCTGGGGACCCAGAGGCCTTCCTCAGGAGGAGGCCCGGGGAAGGAAGGGGCTGGCTGCGGTCCCTGACTTTGAGGCAGGTGTTTGTCTCCCCTGAGTCCACGGTCAGCCCAGGCGTGTCATTTCCCACTCTGTTTTTGTTGTTTTCTGATTTTTATAAAGGCTTATTGTAACTTGAATTTGAGACTGATCCCTGTTCAGTTCCGTGGGGATCATTTCCAGCCTCTGTAGCCTTCTGTTGTCTGAGGGTTCTTGTTGGAGATCAGGGGAGGGTGCATAGTTTATCCAGCTGCTGTTAAACGGGCTCAGCTGTATTTTGCACTAAGTCACTTTGTTGTCACCAAGCTCCTGTGGGGCTGCAGTGGATCAGTATTCTTTAGAGAATCCCACTAAAAAGGCACAGGTTAGTTGGTTAAAACAACACACTCATTGTTTACAAAAATACTTGCCATGCATGTTTCCTGAAACTTCCCCAGGCTTAACCACACACCCAAATGTACTAGTGAGACCTGTCTGGACCCTGAAGGGGTTAATCTGTTCCCCACACTGTTACCACCACTGTCTCTCCTGTCCTCACACCCAGGACCAGCGGAAAAGCTGGGACTCCAGGAGAAACATGTTTTTTTTTTTTTTCAATTGGTTTATGTTTTAATTGAAGGATAATTGCTTTACAGAATTGTGTTCTTTTCTGGCAAACCTCAGCATGACTCAGCCGTAGGTATACATATACCCCTTCCCTTTTGAATCTCCCTCCCCATCCCACCCCTCTAGTCTCATACAAGGTCATCTCTTAGTGAAGACCTAGGGGTGCTTCATGTAAACCACAGTGAGCAAAGTACACTCGGACTGCGAGGGAGCACTTCAGCGTGTAGCCCCCAGTCTGTCCGTTACTGAGAAATATGAGCCAGTCACGTGGTGTTCGCATGCCGGGTTAGGTACCTTTTCTGTCTTTCCCTTGTTGTCCTGGGTTCCAGTAGGCTGCATCATGACAACAAATGATCTTGGGTGGTGGCACAAGCTGTGTCCTTTTTTTCTTCAAACAGAGAGGTCTGGACGGCTTTGCTGAGAGGTTTCTTCCTCTTGCTAGTGGAAGCAGCATCTGGCGATGAGCAGAGTCCTTTCTTCAGGGCAGTTCATGCCATGCAGGGTTCACGGTGCTGGCGTCACTCTGCTCTCCTGCCCGGCGGGGCCATCTGGTCGCTGGATTCCAGGGAGGGCGGAGCCCGGCTTCAGGGAGGCTCCCGTCCAGGGTGTCTGCACTCAGTCAGGTGCTCTCGCTGCCCCATGCCCCGCTTCTCTTGAACAAGACAGTCCTGTAAGATGGCACTAAGCTGGAACAAGGGTTTTTTGTTTTTGTTTTTGTTTTTTGCTACTTGGAGGAAAGCATAGCAAATAGATTTACAAATAAGTTTCTGGTTATAATGTAAAGCCTGTGAGGTTGCCTTTTTCAACACAGTCTATCATTAGCCAGTTTTACACTGCCATTTTACACCTGTCTCACTCAGCTGCCAGCTTTAATGGAAGAGGTAGAAGATGACAAGACTGCCATCCAATGTGAAGCCTCGAGCCCTGCCTCGCCGCAGTCCCTTTGGCTGGACCGGCTGCACACGGGGGTGCTGCGCGCAGCCAGCCCAGAGGACGTCAGGGACACCTGCAAGTAAGGGGTCTGCGCGCCTCGTCGTCAGTTTCAGGAGCCCTGCACCTGTTCTCTTGAAAGAGTTAGAAGGATGATTTTAAAGGAATCCCACTGGGTTCGGTGCCTGTGTTTAGTGGTGAACTTCAGGTGCTGTGGGAGAAGAGCTCAGTGGCCTCACTGATTTTAGAAAACGTCCATCTCTACGGATTGACCCCGCTGTGGGAGCTTTCTTCCTGCTCTTGCTAGAGGTCTGCCCCGCCCAGGGCGCGTTCCCGAGGGTGATGGCCCCGTGCCTCTCGTGTTCCCTCTTGAGGGTCCCTCCCTTTTCCTCAAGGGTCTCCTCTCAGGAGACTCCATCCCCTCCTGTGACTGACACTGTCCTCATTCAGACCACCGCCTGCTGAGCTCCCGTCCTCAGCCAGGCAGCACTCGATGGAGGGCACGTGTGGTCTCCTGTGCAGCAGCTCTCCTGCCACGGCCGGGGACGGCCACCCTGCAGAGGTGGGGTGGAGCTGCCCGGAGCGGGGGAGCTTGCCTTCTCTGGGAGCCTCGTCACCTGCCAAGCGGCGAACCTGAGGGAGGGTCGGAGCACCCTCTGCACCAGCTGGCCTGGAGTCAAGCCCTCCCCGGGGTGGGGGGGGGGCTCCAGTCGGAGACTCTCAGCTTCCTGGGGCGGATGTCTGTGGCCGGGAGCCTGCATTGCTTGTGTGGAGTGTGGTTGGTGAAGCAGCCTCCACTGTGTGCTTGAGGTTGAGGCGCGGGTGTTGCTGGGTGGCCGGTTCTAACAGTAGATCTTGAGGAGGGGTGTGTGTTTGCACGAGGCCGCTGGTTAAAGGTCCTTCTCGCTCCCCGAATCTCGACCGGCTCTCAGGACGGCCCCGGGGGCAACCCCAGCAGCAGCACCATCAGCCAGGACTCGCTGCACAAAGCCCCGAAGAAGGGCATCAAGTCGTGCATCGGCCGCTTGTTTGGAAAGAAGGAAAAGGGCCAGCCTGGACACCCGGCAAGGAGGCCTTAGGACCAGGTGGGTGCTTCCCCGTTGAGAGGGAAGAGAACCTGCAGGCTTGTCCCTTCTGTGTCTCCCCCCCTGCCCCACGAGGCTCCTGTCACTCACACTCGGGGTCCTCCTGGGAGCAAGAGTGGAGGAGGCATCCGTCTTCTTGGTGGGTCCAAGATGATCTGATGAGTTAATGAGTGGATGTGTGGATGAATTATGTCTAGAGGGATGGATGGATGGATTAGTGAGTGGATGGATGGATGGATTAGTGAGTGGATGGATGGATGAACAGATGACTGGCTTGATGGGTCGACAGAATTCGTGAGTGGGTGGAATATGGACTAGTGAGTGTATGGATGGTTGAAGAGATGGCTGGCTCGATGGGTGGATGAACGAAGCATGGAATGAATAAAGCAGATGTTTATACTCCAACGCTAGAAACATATTCTATGAAGTTGATTGAGTAGGAGCTGGGCAATGATTGACTCCTCCAGAACACTGACAAGTGTTTGGAAACGGCCTAAGTGCTCATCAGTGAGGGGTGAGGTCCAATCTGTGCACATCCCACGAGGAGCAGCCCTCCTCCTCCTTCCTGCCACCTTCCTCGTCCCCAGGAGCTCCTCAGGGGTTCTGCCCACGACCCCCACAGTCACACAGGTCCTCCTGGGGTCTCCTCATCACCCAGCATGAGCATCAGGCCCCCATCTCTCTCGGCTTCACCTCCTTGAGGACAGGGTATGTTCCTGCCTCTTCAGCCAGATATTTGTACAGTATCTTGTTTGTGCTGGGTGTGGGATATACACCCAGGGGTAAGTAAAACAGATGTGGTCTGGACCACAGTTAAGACACACGAGAGAAAAAGGAGCAGCTTATTAAATGCTGTCCCTATTATTAGTAAAGACAACGCTGAGATGGATGGTGCATTGATTATATACCAGATGCTGGGTGTGCCCCTTCCCAAGCAGGGGCTGCCACCTCCCGATTTACAGAGGAGGACACAGTGATGGTCACGCGGTCAGGGAGTGGTGAGGGCAGGTGCACACCCACGCAGTGGGACCATGCACTTTGCCGAGCCCCAGCCACCGCTCTGGTGGATGCAACAGGAATGAGATGGTTCTATGGCATCACTGACTCAATGGCCTTGAGTTTGAGCAAACTCCAGGAGATACTGAAGGACAGGAAAGCCTGGAGTGCTGCAGTCCACAGAGTGGCAAAGAGTTGGACACAACTGAGCGACTGAACTAAAGCCTGAGTGTGTGCTAAACTGCTTCGGTCGTGTCTGACTCATTGCGACCCCAGGGAGTGTAGGCCGCTAGCTCCTCTGTCCATGGGATTCTCCAGGCAAGAATACTGGAGTGGGCTGCCATGCCCTCCTCCAGGGCATCTTCTCGACCCAGGGATCAAACCCACATCTCGTTATCTCTCACATTGGCAGGCAAGATCTCTACAGCTCGCGCCACCTGGAAAGGCCCCGTGAACGCTGACAACTAGGAAATGCAGAAAAGAAGGGCTGCTCCTAAGTTAAACTGGAAGAGCCGCAAGCACAGGTTGTAAGGAGGAAACCACACGACGAGTGGCGACAGTGCGGACAGAAACAAGCAGGGACACCTTCACCCACATAAAACAAGTGTGCCGTTCAGAAGAGGAGCCCGTCAGCCCTTGGAGGGACAGTTGGAACCAGAATGAAAACCGAGGCCATGGTCAGCAGTGCCCATGCACACGGCCTGAGTAGCGTGGTGTCACTCACCGGGCTTCCTGCATCCCCAGAGCTGCTGCCGGCGGTAACATCTCTGAGTGCTAGGCCGGCAGCGTCCCCGAGTGAGCTGAGGCATCGCTGCTGTCCTTGCAGTGCTGCTGCGGGGCCCTCTGTGGGCGGCCACCCTCATCCCCTGCCCCGCCACCCACTGGGGCCCGGCTGTCCCCCTGGGATCCTTTCAGCCCCTCAGCGTGGGTGCTCCCAGCCCTCTGCCTCGCTGGACTGGGTGGCAACTCAGAACTTGGGCTTGAGATATCAAGGCGACCGTGAATCTGGAAGGACACTGCCCTGGGGCCTGTGAGAGAGCAGGAGAGCAGAGCCCCCATGGGGAGGAAGCAGAGCTGGGGAGCGTGCCTACAGCATGGCTGCCTCCTCCACAAGTGCCCCTCCACCTCTCCTTGACCTGAAACAGACCCCAGCTGCTGCTGCTCTGCAGGTGATTCCTACAGATGCACCTCCTGCACGAGCTGTTGTTGTGCTGCTCAGGGGCTGCCTGAGTGTGCTCAGGAGCATCAGACAAGTGGGGCTGCCATGCCTGATGCTGGGGGAGGGCCTGACGCTGGGCTTGGGTCTGATGCTGGACTAGGGCCGGATGTTGAGGGGGTACGTCTGATGCGTCTTGTGCTAGTCTAGGATCAGAAGCTCGGGGAAGAGCCTGTTGCTGGCCGAGTGTCTGATGCTGGACTAGGGCCTTATGCTGGGGGGGGGGGGTGTCTTCTGATGCTGGACTAGGGTCTGAGGCTGGGGGAATGTCTGATGCTAGACTAGGGTCTGATGCTGGGGGAGGGCCTGTTGCTGGGCGAGTGTCTGATGTTGTAGTATGGTCTGATGCTGGGGGAGGGCCTGATGCTGGGGAGGAATGTCTGATGCTGTGGGCCAGTCTGATGATGGTGGGCAGCCTGCACCCAGATGTACACAGAGTTGTGATTGTAAATCTCCATGAGAAAAAAAAATCTCTATGAGAAATCTTTTTTTCATACGTTCCTGACCACCTTTGTATGTTCTTTCTTTCTGAAGCATAATTGCTGTGCAATATCGGTTTGATTTCTGTCGTAAATCAACATGAATTAGCCATAGGTGTACGTATGTCCCGTCCCTCGTGAATCTCCCTGCCACCTCCCCTTGCTACATTCTTGTTTCTATGGGTATATGAATAATAAAGACTGTTGACTAAATTAACATAAACAGCTCCCATACACAAGCATGCACATGCACACTCTCTAGTGCATTCCCCTGGCCACCCCGCCCGGGCACCCTCGGTGAGCCTTGACACCTGCACTCTCTTGCCACCCTCGGCCCACTGCCCTCGCCTCTGCAGCAGAGGGGTCCTGTCCCCGAAGATGCTGAAGTGATGGAGCCTCTTGTCTCTGGATCCAAAGGCATGAACACCCCATCGGTCATCCTTTGGGGACACCTATAGTTCCCCCTTCTAGCCTTTCCATTCTCTCCATGCGTTTCTCTTACCAGAGGGCCCATGTGATGACACGGGCTCCCATTACCAGCTCGGGCCTGTTCTCAGTGAGAGTCCAGCTTACCCTCGGCACTCTTAAGTGGCAGTGGGACATTTGGCTTCAGTACTTTATTGAAAGAAAGCAATAAATAATACTGTGATAAAAATTGTTCAAAAGTAAACTGTACGTACTTTCTCACATATTCAGGAAGTTCACAAAAGATTAATAGAAAAACAGAATGGTAACAGTGAACTGTACAGGTAAGTTAAAGGCGCTACCCACATGTAAAGAGACATGCCGTCTCTGTCTACCAAGATATCAGCGGCATAATAAACAACACACCGTGATCTGAACGCATCTCTTGCTGGCTTTTTTAATGTGCCACTGAACAAGTAAAAGTTACATTTGCTACCTATACAATCCAGAATGGCTATGTCATCAAAATCTAAAAATGTATGCCTAGATCCATTCTTTAAACAAGTTTACAAACAGATGTAAAAAGATGATTTACAGAAGAAAAATAAGGCCTTCGTCAGAGCTGCACTACGCTGTCTGTCTGTCAGGGATGTGGCTCCTTCACCGTCCAGTGCATCAGCTCTGCAGCGGGCGCAGGGCATCGTGATTGGTCCCCGAAAAGTCTCAGTGGAGAGGAGGGATCCGGGTCCATAGAGACCAGGTTATGGGAGAGATTGTCATAGGCTTCTAGTCATGCTTTCAGCCCAGATTTCAGTAGAAGCTCACATTCAGCACCCATACTTTTACGTCACTTCACGCTGCAGGCAAAAAGCATTTCTTGCTGGAAAAAGTACAGTTTAAGTCAGTCGTTAAAATGCGACAATTGGTTGAAATTAAGTTTGCTCATTTCAGAGTGATTGTTGGAGAGCTTGGTTAACATTCTGGAAGGATAATGCACACCGTGTCATGATGGTTTTACAATCGCAGGAAAACCCCTTCTCTCGTGGTTTCTCATTTAAAAATTAAAGAACGATAATGACAATAAATGCATCATTTACAAAAGCCCTATGTTTGTTCATAGGCTTTATACAGGCAAGCAGTACAGTACATTCATTTGAAAGACTAAAATCATTTATCAGAACATGAATTGATCTGAAAGTATATTCATAGCCTGAATATACAAGAATAAGCATATAAATGAAGTCATAAGTTTACATAAATATAAGAAACATTAAATTCTAAAATATTTTCTCTATGGTAGGCATGAATTTTTCACTAATGAAAAACCCTGTAATAAAATATCTTCAGGTCCATATAACAAGTAGTAACAGATTAAATTAAAGATTGCACTGCCATGGTGGGAGGGACACCCATGTGCAGGGACGCGAGGGAGCCTCGGGCCGTGGTCTGACAACTCCGGTGGCAGCCGGGCGCCAAGGTCACGTTCTCTGCCGCTGAGGGCTCTCCAGGGCCGACCTCCGGAGACCCGCTGACCCTCCACTCCCAGGGCGTGGCCTCCATGCCCCCTCGGGACCAGGCTGGCCCCCGAAGCTCAGCAGAAGTGAGTCCTGACTGTAGCGGAGTCCAGCCTCTGCATTCTGCCATGCTGCCAGGTCCCAGGAGTGCCACCACCACCATTCTGCTGATACAGGAGAGTAACAGTTTATGTGGAAGACCATCTGGGTTTTCTTGTGAATAAGGCAGAGGTATTTTAGTGGTATCAAGTATTGATGGTTGCAGGTACCTGCTAAGGGCTTTAGCTACTACCAGAGTGAGGTCCTGACAGGTAATTATTCATGAACAGGAATAGCATATGATGGTTTTAACATTCTTCTTGACGGATGCATCATCCACCCTTC